GGACAAAAATGACAAAACAGGTGTTTCATATATATCGTATTTTAATTTCTAACGTAACATAAACCGTTGTTCACTGTGAAACAAAGAAAAACTAAATTGGTTTCAATTGTTCTCTGTAATATTTTCTTTAGTACCAACCGTATAATACTAATTGTATTGTGGATTTTACCCCACTCTGTACATACACATACAGGGGAATAATAAAAGTAGTATGAGGACAAGCTGTCTGTTTGAATAACTTATAAGTAAATATACCAGTTTAATCATAGAGTTGAAAAATAAAATCGTTATAGATACAAAAGAGAGGTAAGTCAGTATCTCTTTAAATGCATTCAACGACTGAGTTTCGAAATTTTCAGATTTTGGGAGAGGAACGCTGGTTGTATAGCTTATTACAACCGTTTCCGTCGAAGAGCACGTGACTCTACATATTAAAAACTTTAGTGGGATTTATTGACCAAGTTTACTGGTCGTAGCAAAACTAAATTATAAATGACATGTGCAATCAAAAGTTAACCAAATCTCAACCTACGGACACATGTTTGATTACCTGCTAGATAGTGGTTGTTTCGTTTTGAATGACAAAATTATTGATTCTGAACGAGATGTAAGGGCCGACTTTAATTACCTGTGGAAGAAACGCTCGTAGAGATTAAGTTATCCTCCTACGCGGCACAACCTACAAGAACAGTATTTTCAGATAAAATCAGGTTGTAACCAGGCCCGAATAAAGATCATTATCTAATAAAACACTTGGGGCAGTCCTACTCGCCTGGCCCTTTCGGGAAGCCTCATGTAATCAATACATATGCCGAAGTTTGACAAGAAATTCTCAAGCACATCCACTAAGGGCCCTTAGATCGTTTTACTGTAATATCTAGTCTCAAGGACATCCACTAAGGGCCCTTAGATCGTTTTACTGTAATATCTAGTCTCAAATTGGTGAAGAAATCAAAAATAATTTTGTGTATATTTTATTATCAATTATTCTGATTTGCATATTTTAATTTGTAGTTTTCCGCAATCCTACCTTTTTTCTATGCAATTGGCGTGATTACGAATAGGGGGCGCAAATTACTGTATTTATTCCATTTTATAAAACATTATGGGCAGAGGCGTCGCTAGACGCATAAAAGAATCGGGGCTCGGGCCCATAGTCGCGGGAATTTTCGGCGTTTCAGTATGATATCGATCATGGTTTTCTATTCTGATTTTTTAAGACACCAACTGTGGATTCGGGGCATTGTGAAATATAATCGGGACACGGACCCTGTGTGCCAGTGGCTAGCGACGCCTCTGATTATGGGCACGTTTTCAGAAACATGGAACCCCCCAATCTAATATACATGACTGTCTTTTCACAGCTTGCCTGGTGTGAAGTAGTTTTAAAAACGACTGGTGTGAATGAATAAAACGACTGTGACTGTCTTTACTCGGTATGCCTGGTGTGAAGGAGTAAAACAACTGTGATTGTCTTTACTCGGCATGCCTTGTGTGAATGAGTAAAATTACTGTGACTGTCTTTACTCGGTATGTCTGGTGTGAAGGAGTAAAACGATTACCACTGATGTTTTTTTTTTCATGGAATATTTGGCTTTAAAGAGTAAAACAGATTGTGTCTATCTTTCCCAAGCAAACCTCGCAGCTATTTACATAAATACATCAAAGTTTTAGCTTTTAACAAAATTTACGACAGTAAGATCGCAAATTACAGTCAATGAATTGTAGCAGACATATTTGTTATTTACTGATTTATATGTAGCCACCTACTAAACAATGTGAAATAAAAGAACAACAAATGATGTTAGTTTGAAATGATTAAAATTTATTACTTATACAGATTTTATTTCAAACTTCATGGCCGATTCATCACTTGCGTAAGCGTAGGTACTGTGTAAACCAATTGAACCCAGATTTTTACAAGAAACGAAAGCTCTAGCAGAAAAACAACATGAACTTGATATCTGCCTTTCTTTTATTTTCTTGTGTTCTATTTATCAAGAGTCCATAATTCGCGTGCAGTTGCCGTAAAATTGCGCCCCGCACTTTGGGGCCGTGGGTGCGTTATAAGAGTGACGGTTAAATCTCACTACTTGATTAGAGTAACCCAAGAGGTTGCGGTGAATGTTGTTGTGTGTTTATTAACTTCATTTCCCCTAGTCTATCAACTTTAAAATCTGTTTCTAGTCTGTCTTCTTCTGCGCCCGAGTCTGCAGCTGTTCTTTTTAATTTTCACATAAAGCTATACAAGGGCTACCCTGGTCAGTTTACATATACTTTGTAATGGCCATTAGGATTTGGCGCCATCAGATCTCGCGCTAAATATCTTAACTAATATAATTATGTCTTACACAAATATGTGTAC